CCCGTCAAACATCCCTGGATGCTGCTGTTGGCTATAGCTGCTACTGGTGATGTAGAAGAGGGGTGGGAAAGAAATTAATCAAGGTTACATGTCACCAGTGATTTAGTTAATCTACATTTTGGTCCTCACCCAAGTCTCTGTCACTGGTTTCTCTGCTTTATTTTCTCTTTCCAGTCAGTGTAATTTCCCTGCTCTCCAGCTGTTCTCTTCGTCTTTCTAGAGCTGCAGAAGAAACCCAGATCTCTTCCTGTCACTGATTTTTAATGAGGAGTTATTAAAATCATCCTATTCCCAGCAAGACTTTGTCAAATTAAATAGGAACTTTTGTGGCCCAATTTGAGACACCTCTGAGGGGTGTCATTACCAGGGGTGCTCATGCAGCTCTCATCCCTTCAATGTCTCTGAGCTCACAGGTAAATGGGGGCACCTCAAAGCCTTTGAAGAAAACATAGACCATTATTTTTGTAAAACCTTCTTTTTACTTCTTCTTGTGCGTGGCATAAATAAACATTACAGTAGAATTAGTCATCTCTAACCCCTTGCCTAATGTAACACTTTGGGGTTTTTTTTCTATTTGCAAAATATCTATGAGCAAGTTGCAACTTCCTAAAGTTTATTCATTATTAAAATTCATCAAAGTAATGTGAAGGCTTGTTTACTCTATGGATCCATAGTGAGAGGCCCAAAATGACATTTTTTCTGCTTAGTGATAATTGGTCAAATAAGTCACAGTACGTGGTGCTTTTGCTGCTTCCCAATTGAATAGGAATGTGAGCACTTTTGGCACAAGTACTAAAATCTACCTTCAGAAATCACTTCTGGGGAACATTTATACACACCAGCTGAATGCACGAGGAAAGGAAACACGCAAAGAGCACAAGAGTGGGCAAAATAAATAAAAGAAAAAGGCTTTTAAAGAAAATGGAGTCTTCATGGAGTTATTTGAAATTATGTTCCTGAGGTGGCTGTTGTTTCTGTAACTTTGGACTCCTTAAACCAGAGAAGTATAAATGCAAGGGTCTGGCAGAGTTATCAGATTAGAGCAGCCTCTCAGTCAAGCACAACATCCTGTTTACTCTGCAGCTCCTGAACAAAATTATGCACCTACTCAGAATCCCTGGAACCTCCCTACTGCTTCTCCTATTACATCGTCAGTGAGGAAAAGAAGGAAGGAGCTGATTTTTTTGACAGTGCCCCTGCAGAACTCAAAATTAGTACCTGCAGAGGAGACAGCTGGCCTGTCTGACCTGTGGTATGTCTCAGGATAGAAAAAGCCACTCTGTATTGCTGCACCATGTCTATAACATCTGGCTGGTATAAAATAAGCCCTGTATCCAAACAATTGGTGATGGAAAAACCTTCTGTGGTCCCAGGCAAGCTCTGCACAAGGAGAATGCTAAAGAATTTCAATGAACCTGCTTGGGATGATTTGGTTTGGCAAAATCAGACAAGAAAGCGAGAGGAAATAGTGAGTGCATGTAAATAGCTGGAATGGTTTTCCTGGAAACACAAAACACTTTTCTTCCTTCTGATGCTCCCTGATTTACATACCACAGTGCCATCTTTACAAGAGGTATCATTCTCATCATGGGAGATTGGGTCTGAGAGGCTGTTTGATCTGCACAGAAGAGTAATTAAGTCATCCCAGGTTCCCCTCAGCTCTCAGTCCTTTTCACTGAGTATCTCCTTTGCGTGGTACTGGGAGCATCAGAGATTTAAGATCTAAAATGTAGAGCACCCCCTCTCCCCATAGATGTGCAGTCTGGCACTCCCTCCTTGAGAAATGGTGGACAGCAAGAGCCAATCATCAGCAAAGACTGGGAGAAACCTGCTGAGCAGAGCAAGCTATTGTGTTGCTCTGTTAAAATGGGTACACAGTGCAGTTTTAAGGCGAGAGATGGGATTTGACACCGAACACGGGTGTCCAGTACTACAGGGAACATCTGCCAGTAGTAGTGATAGTGCTCTGAAGGAAGAAGTCTGTTGCAGAAATTGTTTCTCCTCCCTTTGCTATTGAGACATCCTCTGGATGCCCACAAGACCCAACCATCATTAATGACCCACACATCTCACTGCAGCTCCAGGAAGCAAGGAGGTCCTGAACAAGCCAAGGCTATAGCGACATCCCTAGCACCCACCCCAAGGCATCACACACTTACTCTCTCCAGGAGGATAACCAGTCCACCAGATCCATGGGATCAACCTCAGGAGGGAGCATTAGCTCCAGTCTCTCTCGCAAAATGCAGAAAGTGATTGGCTGAGCCAAAATCTGCAGAGCCAGGAAGAGTACAAAAGAGAGCACAAAGACATCTCTCCCACCCAAGCATTTTGCAGGATAAAAAAGCAGGAGAGATATATTGTCTATTCACTGAGCTGGTTACAGGCAGCAGCTTGTCTATTTTTCTTGAGTGTTTAATTATTGCCAGGAATAGGCAGCTTGCCACTGCAGAGGATCTTGTTAAAAACATCAGCAAGCCACACCAGGACAACATACTGGTGAGAAGATAATTTCCAAGGGCACTTGGGGAGTATCTATCAGCCACTGTACCTGTTTGCAAGGAAAATGTGATCTAAGACTCCCCTCAGTCCCCTCAGTTCCCAGGTCTTTCCCTGTTCTCCCCTCTGTTTGACCTACTCTCTTATTCTTCCTCTTACGGGTCCAACACAACTCTATGGCCCCACCAGGTTTTAGGTTTGACTTCGGTGTTGTGTGTCTCCTTCCTCTACTTCATGAAAAGGAAAAGAGATTAGGGAAGAAATGTAAGACAGGTACAAGAAGGTTTATGGACCAGGACAACAGTCTCCATTCCTACTTTGCCTGTGGACTTGACCCCTTTCCAGATGCAGAAGTAGCAGACGATCCACGCCAGCAGGAGACACAGAGCCAGCTCCCAGCGCAGGCTGCCCAGTTTGTGAATACCATCCGTGAGCCCCAGGACTCGCTTCCTGCCGGTGTCCAGTGACAGGGAGAGAAGAATTAACACCCCAGACCCCACTCATCCACATGAAACTTTCCCATATTACCCCATCCAAAGACTTAACAGACTATCCACAACACATCTGCCCAGGACTCCTCTCTCTGTTGCTCCTGCTAATGTTCCTCCACCATGTCCTGTAGCTGGCCCAAACCCTCCCACTGTCCAAGCCCATCAAACACCTGCAACACAAAATCACCACCTGCTCCCCATTGCTCCCACACCCTGGCAGCTTCCCAGCAGACCCTACTCAATCCAAAGCAGGCCACCAATGCCATCATCATCCCATGGCCACTGCTCTTTCTCTGGCCTCCCCATATAATATGGACACACTATATATAAGCATAAATGGCCTTTATGATTCCCATGCCCTTCCTTCAGCCTCATTCTTTGAAGACTCACCATGATGAAGGTGGGCCACATGAGAGCTCAGAACAGCAGCTCATGCAGTCCCCAGAAACCCAACCGCACACTTAAGATTCTTCTGCACATCCTTCTCCAACCTAGTCCTCTTAGGATCCCCTTGCCCTTGCAATCTCTACAGAAAACCTGAACAATCGTTTCAGAGGGGTTGCAGCTCTCAGTAAACAGTATGTCCAAAGAATAGGGCAGGAGAGGGGGTCCAGCACTGTGCAGGCTCTTTCTGTGCCCATGGGCTTGTATGTGCCCTGTGGTGGCTGCAAGGGCAGTCAGCCGGCTCAGAAGCACTTTAGGAGTCATAAATGGGGGAAAAAAATAATTCTACTGAAGATGAGCCCCTGGCACCCCTCTTCTTTATGAGACCTTCCTCAGCTGAGTGTGGCCTCAACAGCCATTTCAGCCTCTCCAGGCTGCAGTGATGACCCTCTCTGGGACACTGTCTCGCCTGCTGCAGGACCCTCCCTCAGAGGTGTTTTATTGCCTCCAGCCCCATGACCAAACCTCCCCGAGCCCCTCTCTGGCATCCCACACATGCACCTCAGATCATTGCTTTCCAGGGATGAGCCTGAGCAGCCTCATGGACCACTTCCCTTAGGCTCCAAGCAAGAAGGGAAGGGAAAAGGCACCAAGAAGGGAAGGGAAAAGGCACCAAGAAGGGAAGGGAAAAGGCAGTTTTGTCCCTTTTTGTTTCACTGTACAGGGACTTTTCAGTCTGCCCTGGCCTCTCATGCTTGTCTGCCAACAGCAGCCTGCAACACCCAACACAAGTATCCCCTGCTTACAGCAAGTCCTTGTCTTCTCTTGGTGCCTCTTTCCATGGCCACCCTCACCCAGGCACCTCACTGCCAGAAAGGGAACATGCCTGTGCACATGTGCACACAAGCACCCTTGGGCAGGCACAGTACGAGCAGCCTTTGGGCTGTATCTAGTCCTCGTGCCCCTGCGCTGTATGCCAACCTCCTTGGCAGCTCAGTGCATTGTGGTCCCCATGTTTGGGTCTGACATGTGGCACCTTGCTGGGTTCTAGAGAGATGCACAGCCCTCCACCTGGATAGTCCTACAGCTGCTGTCTTTGGATAAGAGAGGAGCCTAAACAGAGGGAAGGCGATCACGTACTCCCAAAACTCAATCATTGGAGAGGTGGCATTTGCAGGCAAGGTCCCATTGTCCAGGCTGGAGAACACAGAGATCTACCAAAAGAACAGAAAGCTGATGAGCCAGAGGAAATCTCCAAGGGCCCTCCATGAGGGATGCTCCTTCCCCTCCTACCATAACGCTTAACTCTGGCAACACAAAGATCCTTCTCCCCATGCTATAGAGCATCTCATTAAACTCTTGCATCTCATTAAGCATCTCATTAAGCGCTAACTCTTCCCAACTATGAATCACAATCTAGCAGTAGCCAGAGGGCTTTGGGAAGGGAAGAGGGGAAGGAGAGACCAATTCCCTGCCAAATGTAAACCAGATGGCTGCAAAATATAGATTATTGAGACATAGCCACTAGTCAGGATAGAAGAGCATATTCTCCTCCCAGACCACTCATCATTCCCTCTCCACACATGCATACATATGCTCACATACAGATACCTTCATGTTCCACTCTCTCATCCCCAACCTTGTCACACAGCATGAAATTACTAAGTACAGAGGAGAGGCCGCGCATCCAAGAAATGCACCTCATCTTGCATTTGGCAAGCAAAAGACAATCTACCAGGAAAGCCCAGCTGTGGCTGGGAATCTTCTGCCTGTTAGGAGAACATCTGTGGCTTTCAACTCTTTAAAAGGTTGATTATTTCTGCTGGGGTGAAGGGGTAGAGGAAGCTGTAAGTGAATGGCCCATGTGGGTGGAGAAATCTAATACATCACAGAAATTAACTGTCTGACCCAAGAGAAAAAGGAAACTGAACTGTCACCAAAGCTCTTTCCAGTCTATCTACCTCATCTTCACAGGCACAGCCAAAGTGCCTTGATCAAAACCTTATTTTCTGCTGGGCACAGTTCTGTGAATTGTGGGAATGAGATGAGAACCCTGGCCATTGTAATGGTGTAGAGGCTTGTATGAATGTGATTAGACTAGAAAAACAGTGCCTTTAGAGCTCTGTGTTACTGGTTTGTGCACTGGGAGACCAAGTACTGGCAAAGTCCTCCAGTGCAGGCTTGGTCTGATTAAGCCAAAAGCTGAGCGCACAAAGGGAACTGTTCAGTACATGGCAGCAACTGTCCCAGGAACTCTGATGGAGTTGGGGAGAGTAAGGGAACTGTAAGATAAATTGTTGTACCAGAGCTAATGGGAAGTCCTGCCATGTGAGGAGGACTCTAGATTGGTTTAAAAATGCTCCCACTCCACCTACCTCTCTCACTTGCCATAAAATGCAGATTTTCCAGTGAAATCTCAACTCCCAAAACAATTCCATGAGGAAATAGTTTTATTGCTGCTGGGCATAGAGTCATACCACTCAGCCTTCCTGACACTTGCCCATGTTGAATGAAGACAGTTGCTTTTGCAGAAGTCCCTAACCACATTGCAGCTCATGAGAGCTTTTCATCTGAATAAAAAATACTTTATGTAAAACCCAAACAATTTCTGGGAATTGGGAAGGATCTAAAAGCTGACCAAGGGAAGATGCACCTGAATTCCAGGGGTTATTGCAGGTGGCCCACGGTAGCACCGCAGTGAAGGAGCTGAACAGGTAGAAGAGTGCCCAGGACAGGATGATGATGTAGTAGATATTCAGATAGCCCTCAATGACTTGTGAGGCATATCCAATTCCTGTGAAGGGAAGCAAAAGAGATGAGGAGGGGTCTGCCAACCAACTCTCAATACATTAGGCTTAAACCCAGAGAAACAGACCATGCCATGGTAAGAAGGGTGCAACACCAACCATATGGCTCACTAGAGAACAAGGGAAGACCTACCTCAAGGAAAGAGAAAGGATTTTATGACTTTGCATACAGACAGGAAACATTGTTGGTATCTCTAGACAGGTCTATGGTGGAACAGAGAGAAAAACTTTCACTGATGGCAAATCTATTCTCACCACTACCATGCCACTGCACTACACTGCCTCTTCTTCAGCAAAGCCAGATCTAGCTTTTAAAGAAAAGAAATGTAGGTGAGTTTCTTCCTTCTGGGAAGACTCAGGCAAAAAATGTTCTCACAGCTGATATACATCATGCATAAGGTATGGTATTGAGGCAAAAGTAGAGACTTAGTTAGAAGGCGAGCTCTGGTCTTTGGGTCCTGCTTCTGCCCATTGCTGTCTGCAAAACGTGGGTATAATAAGTCCTCCTCTGGACAGAAGAATTGTGGATGTGAGATTCATTAATGTTTCAGTGCCATTAAACAGCCTTTCCCTGGGCCTCAGGAGTCTTGGTTCTCATGTCCGTTCCTTAACCACAACCCCAGCCCAGCTCTGGGCTGTCAGTGTGTGATTCCCCCCTAGTTTGCAGGACACCAGCCTGCAAATCCTGCCACAGCAGCCCTGGGCACAGCGATGGGCAGGGAAAGGACCATAAGCTGGCCAGCCTTCCTTATTCTCTTCTCTCTTCAGTATTTCTCCTGGCCTATATCCATCATCCTCCTCCTGCTTCTCCTCTCTCCAGTCTCTGGGCATCTCAAAGCAGAGACTGTGGCTTGGCTGGACCAGCACAGTCCCCCAGCCAGCATCACACACCCTCAGTTGTGTATGGGGGGACCAGTTGTGTATGGGGGGGATCAGGGCACTGCCCCTGCACATACAGCAGTCACCAGGAGGGAAAACAAGGTAGGGGAAGAGAGGAAGGGAGGGAGAAAGAGAAAAAAAAATAACATTTCCAAAAAACTCTCTGCATCACAAATCGTTGGAAAGTGCTGCCAGGAATTCCAGTAACTCAACTTACCTTCAAAGATGGGACAGATCTTCCTCCAGGCAGTGATACCTCCCTGGCTGGTGTACTGCCCCAGCGCTATCTCCAGGAAGAATAGGGGGATCCCACAGGTGAAGAGGAAGATGAGGTAGGGGATGAGGAAGGCTCCTGCAGAGAGAGGTAAGATGCTGCCTAAGAAACCTCTTTAAAAGCTCATCCCCACCACCCCTTGCCAGGTACCTGGGGCCACAGCTGGAATCAGCTAGGTGAACAGAAATATTTCCCTGAATTAACTGTACAGCCTCTGATAAACAACCTCAAGGTCTCCAACACCATCATTTCTTGGAAAAAATACCAAGCGTGGTCTGCCTTGTGCTGCTGCAGTGCTTCTGCACTTGGTCTTGGCCAACACCTAGAGGTAAGGACTAGCTGGGGAAGGGGATAAGAAAAGACAGTCCCTGCTTTGTTCCCCTTTCAG